TAAACAATTATTTTGGGGGAGAAAGAAAGTAAATACAATAATCGTAGAAGCTCTGGGAAACTTTCTGGGAGAGCAATAAACGTTTTAGCATGTTGATTATTACTCCTATTTATTTATTATTGTTTAAAGTATTAAAAATAGTAGTACATATGTTTCCTTTTTTTCCCAATTGACCCTCCCCCAGCCTGCCCTATTCTCTGTCACATACCCTCAACCCCCTCCCAGTGTTTTTCGTCCATTGGTTATGCTTATATGCATGCATACAAGTCCTTCGGTTGATCTCTTACCTACCAACCTCCAATCCTTCCCAGCCTTCCCACAGTTGTTTGATAGCCTGTTGGATTCTTCTCTGCCTCTGTATCAATTTTTGTTTATAATGTTCTTTATTATCCATAAATGAGTGAGATCATATGGTATTTTTCTTTACTACCTGGCTTATCTCATAGCATAATGCTTTCCATTTCCAACCATGCTGTTGGAAATGTTAAGAATTCCTTTTTTTATAGCAGTGTAATATTCCATTGTGTAGATGTACCACAGTTTTTTAATCAATTCATCTGATGATGGGCATTTAGGCTGTTTCCAAATCTTTGCTATTGTAAATTGTGCTGTTATGAATATAGGGGTGCAAATATCCTTTCTAACTGGTGTTTCTAATTTCTTGGGATATATTCCTAGAAGTGGGGTTGTAAATTGGGTAGAGCAGGGTCTCAGGGAATCTCTGAGGTGGAGCAAACAGCAATGGCTGCTAGTCAGCCTTGCACCAGGAAGGTCCAAGCACAGGAACAATGACTGCTATGAGCACCTCCATCTGGAAGAAAGCTGCCCTCACTCACTTTCCTGCCCCAATGCCAAGTAATCCAGTTTCTCCCCATATGAGTCTGGGTCTCCCAGAGTCTCTCCCAGCACTGGAGCTCAGAGCAAGCAGGAGCTTGTATCTCCCTCCAGAGTAAAAAAAGTGGCACGCCTGGGAGCCAGCCCATTCTGTACCTCTGTACCTCCTACCAGTCTCAATATGCTTTCTTCTTTACCTCTCTAGTTGTAGTACTTTAACTCAGCCAGTTCTTCCATGGTCTCGGATGATAGTTGTTCTGTCTTTTAGTTGTAATTTTGATGTGGTTGTGGGAGGCAGCAAGTACAGGTATTTACCTATGCAGCCATCTTGGTTCTGATCACCCATATACTATAAAAGACCTACTTGATACTTACTATGGGCCAAGATATTTAACCTAGTTCACAAATGTAGTTAAAGTGTCTAGATAGAGCTATTTAAAGTCCAGTCCCATCATTAATACTACCTTGGAGTTTGCGGTACAAATTTTCTCTCTCTTCTTCCCTTCTTATTCTCCATATCCTCTCTCCTGGTGTGCTTTCTCTCTCTCTCTCTCTCTCTCTCTCTCTCTCTCTCTCTCTCTCTCTCTCTCTCTCTCACCTTTCCATACACAACTTTTATTCACTTCTATGGATTAAAATAACATTAAACATTCTGGGGCTTAAAAATGAGTTTATGCAAAACTCATTGTCCATTTGGCACTTAGAAAATTGTAATGGAAAGAGTACTGGATTGGGGCTTAGTGAGTACCTGCCATGTGCCTCAAACTTTGCCACATACTTTGAACCTATCATTTTAATTAATCCCATAAAGCAACCCTATTTTATAGGTGAGGAATCTGAGGTCCTAAATTTGCCATTAACTACTATTCACTTCCAAACAAGGAGATAGGGCTTGCTCCAAAGGGAATATCATAAACAACTGGGACACTTTTAAAATAACACATTCTCTGGCCTCTCCACAGACATATGATATCAAAATCCCCAGGTTGGACTCCAGGAATCCGTTTAACAAGTTCCCCAGGTGATTGTGATGGTGAGCCAAGTTTTCAATCTGAATGTTTTACAATACCCCAACATTTACTTGCATGCATTCGCTTGGTAGAATTTAAAACTATCTAATGGAAAATGAAAGCACTAATAGGTCATAATTATAAAAATTTAACAGTTCCATGTTCACTTAGAAGAACTAAATGCCCTTCATAATCTGGGGGACATGGTAGCCACAAAAAAAAAAAAAAAAAACTGGGTAAAATCTCTATATGGCATAGCTTATAGCTAGCTAAAAGGCTTGTCCAAACAGAGCTCAGGAAGACCATATTATCAAAGATGTCTCTCAGTACAACTTAATCTCAAGTAGGACTGACCGGCAAGGTTTTACATATTAACAGAATAGAAAAGTCAGGATGTTACAGAAAAATCGCATTAATGCTTTAGTTTTAAAATCAGTTTTTGCTTTGGGGCATTCTGTGGGTTTGTTAACATGAATAGAGTTCTGCAGTCTATTCCACTTTCACTTACTCTATCCCCCTGTAAATGGTCCAGCCCTTCTCTAACCCATAGAGAATATGGGCTAGATCACACCTGGTCAATGATTTCCCCATTCCCACTATTTAGTATATATTACTTAGAGTTGGTGATCATAAAACATTAACAAGGCAGAGTTTACATATGCTTTCTGGTCTAGTACAGGCATCCCTGGGGGAAGGCAGACTTCACGGTCTCATAACCAGCTGCTAGCTGGGGGCAATTAGACCTTTAATGGACAAAACAGAAAGGGACTGCTTCACAGAGCACCTCTTCACAACCAAGAACTTTCTTCCTAAATGATAATGAAATGAAATGTACTCCCTCTACGCATTTGCGCACACACACCTGTGCACCTAAAATATAGCAGGTTTGGCAACCTAAAATAGCTATCCAATTTAAGTTCACAATCTTTTTGTAAAATTCTAATGGAGCTTTTAGAATGAAAGCCTGGGACAGTCTAATGGGAGACAGAAGTAAGGAGGAAAGAGCACTAGTTAGATTGTAACAGCAGAAGACCTTGGATTCTACTTCTGCTCCTCCCATTAATCACATAATTTTGGGCAAGTCTCCATAGACTTCATTTCTTCATTTGTAAATCAGTGGAATTGAACTAGATAATCTCTCGCAATGCTTCCAACATTCACATTATAGTGAAATGCTGATTATTGTAAAATGTATTCAGTTGCATGTCTATCAGTCAACTAGACTTACCTTCTCAAGACGTAAGAACTATGTCTTAAATAACTTTGAATACTCAGCACCTGGCAAAGTGCCATGAGCAAAACATATGCTTAACAAAAGTTAATTAAATAAATCTTTATGCCTGGAGCCTGATCAAAACCATGTACTTAATTCCTTATCAGCTATCAATTTTGTTGCTGTCAAGTGACCAATATCAGAGGCAAACTTAAGACACTCCTATACTCTGTTTTTAATATTGTTTCATTATTTTTCCTCTTATTGAAGACATTTCCACACCCCTGGCATCCTTTCTTTGTGTCTGACACATAGTGAGCCCTCAATCAATATAAGGTTAATGAACATGTGAATGTGCTAACTTTTCATTTTTGTAGTTCTGTGAGATTTACTTTTGCATAAAGCCTTAGAATCTGGTCTTGAATTATAAAGCAGTGAAGGGAATAATTATTCACCAAAGAACACTATAGTTAGATAGGACATTTCTGTTCATTTTACTATAAAATATTTTCTTAGCAAATGTGTTTTAAATGGATATCTTTGTAAATGGGACAATTGGAGCAGCTCCATAAGTAGCATCATTTCTGTTCTCCCTCCTACTTTAATTCACCAAAGAAACCAATTACCCCTTTCATTTTCTAGAACTTAAAGACAAGGTTAAATGGCCCAATCTGCCCTACATATTCAGGGTAAACAATGGCTTAGAGTACATAACAGTTTCACTGCTTATAAGCTAAGAGTTTAAGTCAACCAAGCCTATGTTTGAATCCCAGTTTCTTCCACTTTTACTTAACTAGCTTTGAGATCTTGGGCTAGGTATTTAACCACTATACGCTTCAAATCCTCTTGTGTAAAATGGGGACACTATTAAGGCCTCTCTCATGGATTATTGTGAAACAACATAGAAACTGGCCATCAGAGCAACTGAAATATAGTAGGAGATCAACAATGGTAGGGTATTAGACGATTCTGTCACCACCTTCCACAAAGCTGGTAGCATTCAGGAATCATTCACTACCACCTTAGTGGGAACTGGCTAGTAGCTCCTGGCTATATATTCTGCTCTACACTGTAAAGTGAGTGCCTCATGTGGTTCTGAATGTATGCACTCTAGCTTAGCAGGTGTAGTGTAACTAACAATGTGGAACTGAAACAAAGCAAATTGCTGCTTTACTTGCAGAACTATCCCATCACAAATCCCATAACAACCCCCATCAGGCTATCATATAATCAAGACTGTTAAACAACAACTTTGAAAACATGTTTGGCTCGCTTATGTTCTTATGTATGTTTAATTAGGGGTTCTAGCTAGGTTTCCCGAGCTTACAGTCATTACTTAAAATGGTAATGTGAAATATATGATTAAGAACATGAGAGTAAAATCAGAATTAAAAAATCAGTGATAACCTAATTAAACAAAGATCTAATCAATTTCTGAATTATGGATTTTCCACTAAGTATAGCTGGGTACCCTTGGGCAAGTTACAGTTTTATTGAGCTTTAGTTTCTTAATTTATAAAATGAAGATAATAGCTCCTACCTCAAAGGACTGTCATGAAGATTATGATAACTGACAACAATGGTATTATTAGCTAATATTTACTGAAGACTTACCATGTACCAGGCACATGCTAAGTGCTTTAATATGTTATTCCTTATAAAAAAAGATATTATTTTTATCCCTATTTTATAAATCAGAAATATGAGGCTCATAAAGAAAAAAATGATTCACCCAAGTTCCCACAGCAAATTTCAAAGCCAGGCAATATGATTCCATAACCTGTGGTCTCAATATGCTGACTAACTATGTGAGGTCATTCAGTCTCTCATCTCTTTCAAACTCTGTTCTTTTTCTCACTTATCTCTAACAGCATCTGCTACTAGCCAGGCTGCCCCCTCCCAATAGGACCCAGTTCCTCTGAAAACTGTAGACTGGTACTCACGGTGGTGGTCAGCTTCCCTCCGTTCTTCTGGACATATTGGATGGAATCATGGATGGTCGAAAAGAGTCCAAGCAGAACATCCTCCATGTCATAAACTCGGTACATGCCATTCACCAGCTCTTCAAGGGACACAATGTATTCCCTCCAGTACTTGTCAATCTCCACCACACCTGCCATGCAGCCTTGCATAACCACATTGCAGTAGCCACCGCAAGGCTTAACCATCATCAGTCCTTGACAGTAAGAGCAGTACCACATTCTGGTAAGCATTCGGCCACAGTCCTTACTAAACTTCAGGTGATCAGTTGTGTTGATCACTTCGATTCCGAGATTCAGGGCTTGGAGGAAGATCCTAGTAACTTGCAGTGACTTGGAAACTTGGGTCATAATGAGCTTGGGGAAATTCCCAAATACTTTCAGGTCACGTCTGGCACTACGGAGGCACTCATTGATGTCTAAGGCTGGCTCAGGAATGCCTGGGTTCATCAACTGGGTATAGATAACTGGAAACAGGCTATCAAATAGTTCATTGACCATGTCATCCACATTGATGTCAGAACCCAGGATGTAGAGAGACACATCGGTAAAAAATTCACCTACAAACTCATAAGCTTGTGGGGTCAGGCTTGCATAGTTGTTTTTGAACATGGCATTGGTATAGTTCTTGGCATGGCGAACAACAATTTCAAAGGCCTCTGTAAAATAAGAAATAGAAAAATGTCCACAAATTAAAGCATGAAAGTCCAGGGTGTAATTGAATTAGAAATTTCTCTATTGCTGTGGTGAGTAAGGTCCCATTTGCCTTAAATAATTGACTCATATCACCTCAACTTCTGCAGTTGCCTGATCCTATAAATAAAATTTCCTTTCTGACTATAAAGTCTAAACCCTTATGTGTACATACATTCTTAAACACACTAATTATATTTCAAATGACAAAAGGTAGGATTCCGTTAATATTTCGGCCTCTCATGAAAATACTGATTAAAAATAAAGAGAATTTATTTTTCTTTATCTCATTAAAAATGTCTTATACTTCAAGCCATTTCATTTTTGGACAGAAATAAATATTTGACAACAACCCATATATTATATAAATTCACATAATAATTTACGCCACTTCAGTCCTGGAGGAGAGACAAATTCTTAGCCAAGAATAAAAACTATCACAAATTTAATTATTTTTGGTAGACTTTTCTCTAGATAACTTTAAAAAGAGTTATCTGGTAGATTGCCAGATCTGGAAATGGAACATATCCCTTAAATGGGTATCTGGATGAAAAAAAGCAATCCATACATTTATCCATATGTTTGAAATTGAAAACAACACCTCTGGTATTTGAAAGGTGAGCATCTGAAATTATAATTGCTAAGCTTCTTTGGTTAGTTTGGCTTCCACGTAGCTCAGAAGCTTTATCTGTTCTTTAAAAGCTACGAATTCAGGATTACATCTGCTGCCCTTGGCATAAGACCCAATTAGTCATTGATTTGAGAGAGAAAGTAGTCATGTTACAATCTCATTTTCTTCAAACTGAAACACTCCACACATAAATTATTCCAAATATTCAGAGTTCTACATTTGTAAGAAAGAAAAGAAAATAACTAAAATAATATCTTTTTCAAGAAATAAGACAGTTTGAAAACAAACAATATAACCAAGTTTCCTGAGACATTTAAAATTAACTTAGCACTTTCTTTCATTTCCTTCCAAAGTGCAAAGGTCCATGACAGATGAACTCCAAATGATGCCAATTCATGAGGCTTGAAAAATCAAATTATTACCACTTTTAGACTACGAGAGAGTATATACTCCAACAGCTCCTTGGGATCAGTTAGTCCAGCATCTCAGTCATCTATGGCAGAAGAGATGTCTAGGTTGTGCCATCACCATCTGCCCCAGATCACTCACAAGGTAGAATGTGCTTGCTAGATTATTCCCTTGATCTTATGATTTGCCCTGCAATGTTGAGCAGATGCCAATGCAATTCCACTAGCTTCCAAGCACACATGAGAAAGTAATCTTCATTTCCATCAATTTCTATATATTCATATGTTTGTTTTGCTTTTATTAGAACGTCACGCAATTCCTGGAAAGTTTATCTATCTTATAACAATCTCTTCCTAACCCCATATGCTACTTTTCACTCAAACATTGAATCTAAAGGTTTAATGAGACCAAGAGACCATCTAGCCTCAAACAAAGGATCTTTCAATGAATTTAAAATCATCAGAAACATGGGGATTTAAAACTACTCATTCATTTTAAAATAATTTCTTATTTATTGGTTTTGAGAGATAGAGAGAAGGGGGAGAAAGAGAGAAATGGATTGACAGGTTGAGAATCGCTATTAGGATCACCTAAGACCACCGGAAAACACAGATATTTACACTATGATTCATAACAGTAGCAAAATTACAGTTAAGAAGTAGCAACGAAAATAATTTTATGGTTAGGGGCCACCACAACATGAGGAATTGTATTAAAGGGTCATGGTATTAAAAAGGTTGAGAACCACTGATTTAGAGGGAGTAACTAGCCTGATTGCAGACTTCCCCTATCAAACTACATCTGGAGAATTGTTTTCGTTCTTGAGTACCATAATTTATGGAGGATGTTAACAATACTAAAGTATGTCCAAACAGTGGTGACCAGGATGGTAATGAGGACATCTGCAAATATAGAAACCTTGCTATATTTGGATATAAATTCAGTTTACTAGATCTATTTTCTGTATCATTTATATTTATATTATAAAACAAAAACTAAAATATTTTCTTTTTAGTAGCTAAGTTTTCATAGTATCTCTGATTTTACATTTTTCCAAATTTTCCTGGACATAGCTCTTGACCACTTCCCATGAAAAAGACAGAGGAAAACCTCCCCTGCCCTAAGATTATAAATATTGTCTGACAAAAAAAAATCAATGAGCTGAACTTCCTTGCAGTAATTCTAGCCCTTGGCTTCATTCCATTAAACATAAACATCAAGTTGCCAACCTCAAACTGAGCATCCTTTTTCATCTAGTGTTGGCTCCTATAAGTCCCCAAGGAGTCTTTGCTTGAGTGGTTACGGTTTGGTCTGTTGCTCAGTGATGTAGAAGTAAGGGGGAAGGGCAACACCTAGAGATGTGCTAAATGGATTCTGAGCTGTGAAAGTTGGACCAGGGAGACATGCAAGCTTCAGGTTAGATATGAAACCCTAGCCCCTTTTCCCAAAGCAGTATGTGCTGTTGTTAATTCTTTCTGCAGAAGAGTTCATGATGTTTTGTAATTTTTTTCTATTGATCCAACAGTGTTAGTAACAGAAACTTAAAAAAAAAAAAAGGTTATGGCAGTATAGTCTATGGAATTTCACTCTCATATGTTTTGCACACTAGAGAACCAATCCCTGTGCTAGAGATGAAATGTGCCTTGTAGTGAATTCATTTTAGGGTAACTTAGATGATTGAGATCTACAGATCTCTTACCTCAGGCTTTCCCAAGGCAAAGCTGTAAATATGACTCTGCTTTGTTGGTCTTTGAGCTGCAATTTATCCTAATATATTTCCATTCATAGAGAAGAAGCCAATGATTATATTTTTGTTCATAGATCCAGAGACAGAGATGCATTGAACAGACCATCAAACCTCAGAGGGAAGGCAGGGGAGGGTGAGGGGAAGGGTTAAGATCAATCAAAGGACTTGTATGTATGAATATAAGCATAACCAATGGACACAGACACTAGGGGTGTGAGGAGACATATGTAATATCTTAATCAATAAAGAATTAAAAAAAGAAGCCAATGAAAAAATAATGAGGAAAATGTAAAAAATATATCAAAAGTAAATGCTAACAATAAAAAACACAAACAAAAGTGAAATGTATCTTTCATGGGCTCATCAGCATACTAGAAGGAATCAGTGAGGTTAAAAAATTGCTAAGAGAAGCTTTCCAAACAAAAAAGGAGAGAGAAAAATAAGAATTAAAAAAACAAAAAACAAAGAAGAATATCAAAGAATGGTGAGACAAATTCAAAGGTATAAAATGTATGTAATTGCAATTCCATAAAGAGAAGAGAGAATGTAGTAGAAGAAATATTTGAGGTAATGTCCAAAAATTTCACAAAATTCATAATAGACATGAACCACAGGTCCAGGAAGCTCAGAGAATAACAAGTTGACTGAATACCAAAATTCTTACTCCTAGACATATCATACTCAAACTACAGAAAGATAAAGAAAACATATTCTAAGAAGCATTGAGGGAGGAAACTATCTTATCTGTCAAGGAACAGGGATAAGAATTACATTTAACATCCAATCAGAAACTATGCAAGCAAGAAAAGAGAGAGTGAAATATTTAGTGCTGAAAGAAATCACCAACCTAGATTTCTGCTTCCAGAAAAATTATCATTGTAAAGGGAAGAAGAAATAAAGAATTGATCAGACAAAAAAAAAAAGAAAATGAAAATTGCAAAAAAAAGTTAAAAGCAGCTTTTCATGGAAATTATATAGATCAGGAGATTGGGGGGCAGAGAGAGAGAGAGAGAGAGAGAGAGAGAGAGAGAGAGAGAGAGAGAGAGAGAGAGAGAGAGAGGGGAAATCAGAGAAAGAATTAATAAAGGTAAAATGAAATCTTTTGTTATAAGGTACCCACACTATCAGTGAGGCTATACAATACAGTTAGTTGAAAGTAGACTTCAGGTAGTTAAAAATATATAGTACAAAATTTAAGAAAAACACTACAATTTTTAAAAAAAGAAATATAATTGATATGCCAAGAGAGGAGAAAAACTAGAATAAAAAATAGTTCAGATAAAACCAGAGAAGCCAGGAGGAGTGGAGGAGGGTTGGGGGACTTGGTGAAAGAGGTAAATGAATCAGAAATGCAAATTGATAGTTACAAAATAATCATGGATATAAAGGAAAGCATATAACACTGTATGGTGACACTTGGGCTACTGGAAATATAAAGGGGAAAGTTATAAAATATATGATTGTCTTGATGGAGCCAGTGACTAGAACCATAGTGTTAACTCACTCCCTCTGTTTTTCTCCAAATCTGCTTTGACATTTCTTTCATGAGTTAGGGAGTTTTAACACACAATAAGTGCCATATGGCATCAATGTGATCTTAATTGGAATAACCACCAGAAAAAGTTAATGGACCAAAAACACACAAATAGATAACATATTTCAATGTTATTTTTGAATATTCTTTTTTTAAATCAGCCACATAAAAATGGCAAGATTAGTCCTGGCCAGCATTGCTCAGTGGCTAGAGCATCAGCCTGCACACCAAAGGGTCTTGGGTTTGATTCCTGGTCAAGGGTAGGTACCTGGGTTCTGGGTTCTATCCTCAGCCTTGTGGTGCACTTGCAGGAGGCAACCAACCAGTGTCTCTCTCTCACGTCAATGTTTCTCTTGCTCTCTCCCTCTCCCTTCCTCCCCCCTCCTTTCTACTTTCTGATAATTGATGGAAAATAGATCCTTGGGTAAGGATTTAAAAAAAAAAAAGATAAGATTAGGTTGTAGGAAAAGAACCCCCCCTCATTTTCTAGAATAGTTCATACAAGAGACTAAAAGTGTTGCTCCAAGTTATGTTCCACTTTTTATTTTTTTGGCATTTTATGTTCCACATGAATTTAACTAGAATTGAGCAAGCTTAGAAATAAGTTGCTATTAAATATAAGCCATTTATTTGTGCATACCCATGA